GGGGCATTGATTTTCCTGATCCTGAAGGAGGATTCGTATCCCTGATATATACAAAATTATAGGCTGATTTCATTGTTAAATACTGATTACAAAATATTTACTTCTATTATAGCAAATAGACTAAAAAGAATGTTAAATGAGCATATACATGACGTCCAAAATGGATTTCTCCCGATCAGACAAATCAGTAATAACTTAAGAATAGCATTAGATGTTTTTGAATTTTACGAAGCCCATCCCGAAAAACAAATTGCACTTATGTTTTTAGACACAGAGAAGGCCTTCGATAATTTAAATTGGGAATTTTTAATCCAAAAAAATTATAATACGAATTTAGGCACCAAATTTGAAAATATTATAACAACCATGTATGATACATAACAGGCTAATATTATAATAAACGGGGAATATACCCGCCCAATAAAAATAGAAAAAGGAGTCAGACAGGGCTGCTCACTCTCACCCCTGCTCTTCATATTATCACTAGAAGCATTATTAACGCGAATTAGACAGAACCCAGACATAAAAGTATTAAAGGTTAAGAAAGAAGAATATAAGTTGCAAGCGTTTGCGGATGGTATGAATTTTTCATTGAAGAACCAATAGAAAGAGGACAAAAATTGATGAATGAATTAGAACAATTTGGAGCAGTAGCAGGACTAAAAATTAATAAGAAGAAAACAAAATTAATGACCAAAAATTTAACAGAAAAACAGAAATTAGAACTAGAAGAAGTTATGGGACTACAAGTTATAAAGAAAGTTAAATACTTAGGAATGTGGTTGACAGCACATTGTAAGACACTTAAGGAAAATAATTATGATAAATTGATGCAACAGGTAAAGAAGGATTTAGAAACATGGGGCAAGCTGCAGCTTTCATTATTAGGCAGGATTGCTGCTATTAAAATGAATATTCTTCCAAAATTCCTCTATATATTTCAGACGATCCCAATCAAAGTACACAATTTTTCTTTGAAGAACTTAATAAAATAACTGTAAAATTCATCTGGCAAGGGAAAAAACCTAGAATAAACTTAAAGGCAATGCAGGATATGAAGAGCAGGGGAGGGCTGGCACTTCCAAATTGGGAGTTGTATTATAGTGCAGCCTCTTTCGTATGGTTGAAGGAATGGGTGAATTTAACCAACAAGAGAATATTACTCTTAGAAGGCCATGACTTGCAGAGGGAGTAACATGCTTTTTTATGGGATGTTGGGAAAACTAGCCAGAAATATTTTCACAGACACCTATTCAGAGATTCATTATTGACTAATTGGAAGAAAATACAGAAAAAACACTATTTAACAATACCAATTTGGATCTCAACAATGGAGGCGATGATTCACCCAAATAATCTGGATATTACTAAAATGATTAAATATAAGGACCTATTGGATATGCAAGGAAATCTGAAATCATGGCAAGAACTTCAAGATCGGGGATTAAAAATTGATCAGTGGGCATATCTTCAAATTCAAAGTAGATATAAACAGGACAAGAAAGAATTTGGAATTAACAATAAACTCCAGCAATTAGATAAAATTTTATTAGGATCAGGCAAAAAATATATATATAACAAAATTTTATAATTATTTATTAGAAGTAGAATTATTTATTAGAAGTAGAAGGTGAATCATCGCCTCCATTGTTGAGATCCAAATTGGTATTTTTAAATAGTGTTTTTTCCATATTTTCTTCCAATTAGTCAATAATGAAGAAGAAGAAATTGTAAAAGGGAACATGGTAGCCTGGATTAGGAATATAGGATGTAGTATCACCATAACAGAATGGGAAGAGTTCTGGGGTAGAAATAATAAAATTACAAAATCGATAGCATACAAAGAAAATGTCTATAAAATGTTTAATAGATGGCACCTTCCTCCTTCAAGATTAGTGAAGATGCACCCCAATATGAGTCTGAATTGCTGGAAATGCAAAAAAAAGAGGGAACTTTCTTCCATATGTGGTGGTCCTGTACAGAAGCTCAAAAATATTGGCAAAAAATTAGAAATTGGCTGGAGGACATGGCAAGAGAACAGATCGAATTCAAACCAGAGTCATTTCTATTAGGGATCTTTGATAAACAAATACCAAAAAAAGTGAAATATATAATAATACATATTTTGACAGCGGCCAGATTGGCTTTTGCACAATGTTGGAAACAGCCTCATGTTCCATCAGAGGAGATGATTATTCAAAAAAATTCAAGTTGTGCAGAAATGGACAAATTAACCTTGGCATTAAAAAATAAAGACACTTCAATATACTACAACAGCTGGAACTGCTGGTACAAATGGATAGACCAAAGATAGATTTCACACTAAAAGGCAAAAGAGGATAGGATAGAACAGTAGTAGTGATATACAGATATATGTAAGGATTAAGTGTGTATATGGCATAAAATAAGGATAAAAAGGAGGTCTCACAAACTGTTAAAGATGAAAATGTTTTTAATTGTTTTCTATCTTTTTCTTTCTATTTTCTTCTTCCTTTCTTCTTTTCTTTTTCTCTCTTACATTTATGTATGTGTTGTTGGTCTGTTTTAATTGTAAAATCAATAAAATTTATTTAAAAAATAATAATAAAATATGATAGCCAAGATAATCCAATGACTCTTTATGGAATTCTCATTTGGATAGTTTTACATACAGTTTTGCATCTAACAGTCTTTTTAATACTTTTCTCACTAACTTGATGTGTTCTTCTAGAGTTTCATTGTAAATGAGATTGTCTTCCAAGGAGACCAGAAGCCCTTTATACAAATATTGGTGTAAAACTTCATTTATGAGCTGCATGAAGACCCTTGGGGCTACTTGTAGTCCAAATGGCATTACTCTGAACTGAAAATTGCCCAAGGGGGTGTTGAAAGTAGTCTTCCATTCATCTCCTTCTGTGATGTGGATTCTGTAATACGCTTCACAGAGATCTAATTTAGTAAACACTTTCTCTTTCGCTAGATGCCCTAACATGTCTTTCATAAACGGCAAGGGGTATGTATTGTGGATACTCACACAGTTTAACCCCTTAAAATCCACTACCAAGCGAACCCCCTCCCATCTTTTTTTTCTTTAAAAAGTATGGGGGTAGCCACTCTGGATTTTGCAAGTCAGATGAACCCTCTGGCCAGGTTTGTGTCTATGTAGTTCCATCGCTCCTTCATTTCCTTAGGAGTCATGGAGTACATTTTTTATTTTGGTAATTTCGCCCCCTCTATAAACTCTAGGGCACAGTCAATGTTGTGATGGGGGGGAGCACATTGCATTCCTCCTCACTGAAAACTTGAATCAGATCACGGTACTGGATAGGGATTTTGGGAATCCCTGCGGGTTGATACTGTGATATTGTTCTATCCTCGTGGCTTTTTTGTATTTTCGGGCTGACAGTTTGGCTGTTATCCTGTTCAGGAGGTGGCTCAGGACCAAGTGCTAGTTTGATTTTCTTATAGCCACCCTCCCAGCTTTTGTTTCGCTGCCATTTGTCTAGCCAGGTGAGACCCAGGATTACTGATTGGGTCATCTTTGGGACTACTAAGAATTGGATTATTTCCCAGTGTTCCCCTATGGTTAGCTTTACTTTTTCAGTGACTTGCGTAGCTTGACTTCCCCCTATCATGGATCCATCTACTTGTTGGAATCGAGTGGGGTTAGTTAACATTTTTGTTTCTATTCCTAGCCTATGCACAGTGTCAGGACTGATAAGGCACCATGAACTACCAGTGTCAATGATAATGTCTATGGGCCCTTCTAAGCCCATGTGTGTGACAGTTAATGTCCCTTCAATTTTAAAAGGTAGAATGGTTCCACTTACCATTGGGTCATTCTCTTCACTGTCTGCATCTTGCATGATGGGTACTTCCCTCCCCTGTTGTTTGTTGGGGGTTGGGGACTCGATAGCTTGGCACACAACTTTGCTTTTTTCAGGAGGTTTTTCTAGGTGCCTTTTTCCATTTAGGAGGAACGGATGTTCTCCCTTGAGGTACTGGGCTGGTGCTAAGCCTTCAGGCAAACCACGGCACAGGCAGATTTTTAACAACTCCTCATCTAGGCTTTCTTGGAAATAGTGCACGTAATCTTTGAGATCAGTGTCTGAGATTAGTGGTCAGGCGTCTGAACTCAAGCACTAAATCCTTGGTGGGTCTACCCTTCTGCCTGATGTTTTTTATACTTGGAAGGCAGCATGTTTCCAGTCTAGTTTCCATTCTCAGAACTTTTGTAATATGTTTTATTTTACATATGCTTTCATATCTATGTTGCCAAGAACATTTTGGAGTCTCCCAATATCTGTTGATGTCTGTTTCGGATGTCTTGATTGATGTCTTCTCAACTCAACTAATTTTCAGAAATGATTATGGTTGTGGCTTCTAATTTTTAAATATTTATTCTGGGTAGGCTGGAAATATAATTTGCAGATCAATAATAATTAGCTTTGATGACTAGGTGTGGCTAGTTGTTGGTTTTTTTCCAGCCAAAATAAGATATAAATTTAAGCATGTTTTGATTTTGAACAAATGTTTCATTTTATTTTGAACAAATGTTTCATGTTATTGCTAAGAGGATAGAAAAGTTAAAAAAAATAGCAATTATTTCAATTTTTAGTTTTACTACATTGCTTATCATAAAAATAAAGCAGAAAGATTTGTGACCATTAAGAATGAATACATGGTTTAATTAATGTAATTTAATATGTGTAGTTTTTCACTGAAATACTTCAGGTGAATACAGCACTAGATTTCAGGCTGTCTCTGATTTTCATAATAAACTTCTCTACATGAGCCCTATCCCAAGTTTTTATATATATATCATTGATATTTGAGTTCACAAAAATAAATTTCTGTGGGAGAACATCGCAATAATGTACATTCATAAAATGTATTACTTTCTATTTTTTGTGAAGATAATTATCGGACAAAGCATTGCTTAGTTGGGTTATACTAAATTACAAATGCACTTTTTAAAAAATATAACACATTTGTGTCTTCCTTTTTTGCCATCCTCTTAGATGTGTGCAATAGTACTGATCTTCCCGAAGTTGAAATCATCAGTCTACTGGAAGAGCAGCTCCCTCATTACAAGCTAAGAGCAGATACAATCTATGGTTATGACCACGACGATTGGCTTCATACTCCTCTTATTTCTCCTGATGCGAACATTGACTTAACAACTGAGCAGATAGAAGAGACATTGAAATACTTCCGTAAGTCCAGATATGTTCATTAATATTCAAATAATGAAATTATTTTAGAATGATCTTTTTTCTAGATTCTGTGCAAGGATTACATTATAAATAGAACCATTTAAAACGTGCCATTTTAACATTTTGTTGTAAGAGGCATAATTTCCATCTAATTAGAATAATTTGAATGTAGCTTGTGTATTTCAATTTTTAATCAAGTTTTCAGATTTTTTAAAATCAAGTTTTAATTATAAGTACTATCACTGCCCTATATGACAAGGTTTGAAATCAATAATTTCTTCTGGTATTCTTATCTTCCTTGTTTTTATACTTAAAATGTATGATAAGGCTGTGTAAAATGTTTGAAAGAAATACTTTCTGGAGTACATTAGGATGAACAAAACCCAGTTCTTTGACATAGTCAGACATACTCTTTGGAAGTTTGCATAGCTATCTCAGTGGGTATCCTTGCCTATCTGTGTAAGTATACTCAAACACTAAACACAAGCAAACGAGGTATGCATGGCACATTTGCAGGCACTTGGTTACAGTTTCTGAAAAATCTGGGCAAACTTTCCAAAGGTTGTAGTTATGTTAAAATTAAAATAAGGTTTTTACTTGAGCTAACATACCTTACATCTATTCAGAATACTAATGAAAGATTTTTTGTTTTCTATTAACACAATTGACTATTGTTTGGGCATTTTTGCTGATCTGTTACAGTAATAAAAAAAAATTAAAATATATTTTTTATTGTTCACAACTATAAGTGTCAAGCATAGTGCAACCGTTTTGGCATTACCTTGCCTTACATACAAAAATATAACGAAACCATTAACATTCCTATTATTGGTACAATATTTACATTTTGATTCTAATCATCCTAGCTATTTTTGTTCCAACATTCCCTCTTTTTTGCAACCACAGGTAAAACTTATTCCATGTATCATAATATTCTGATTCCCCCTTATTTTTCAGTATTAAAGTTAATCTATCAGATTCTGCACAAGCCATTATTTTCCTTATTATCTCTCTTTTCAGTGGTATACTTTCATTTTTCCAATATTGTACATAAATCATTCTCGCTGCTGTCAATACATGTATTATTAAATATGTTATACCTTTCCTGTGACCTTCTGTCATTATTTCTAAGATAAATATTTCTGGCTTAAATTGAATGTGTTCCCCCACCATTTGCTCCACCCATGTGTGTAAAAATCTCCAATATTGTTTTGTGTGATTACATGTCCACCATATGTGATAGAGTGTGCCTGGTAAGTCCTTGAACATTTTGGTGATAAATTTTTGTACATTTTGGCAAGCTTTGCTGGGGGAAGATGCCACCTGTAGAGCATCTTGTATAGATTTTCCTTATACACCATAACCATTGCTAGTTTCCTATTATTTTTCCAAAGATTTTGCCATTTTGCCAATTTGATGTTATATCTGAAATTTTTAGCCCACGCCACCATTGTCTCTTTGACATGCTCTTCCTCTAGTTTATATTCTAACAGATATCTATATAGCATCTTAATCAGTTTGTCATCAGTCCCTGTCAATAGTTTGTCTAGTGTTGTTGGTTCTGTATTAATGTCCCATGTTTTCCTATCCTGAATATATGTCCACTGTATTTGTAAATAGGACTGCCACTTCAGATTTACCCCTTGCACTATCATTTCTCATCTTGTTTTCAGTTCTCCTTTTTCATTCAATATGTCTCTCTATATAACAATTTTTTCCATGTTTCTCAAATTAGGATGTATTAGTGCTTCTAATGCGGAGAGCCAGATAGGGGTTTCCCTATAATTTTAGTATTTAATTTTATTCCATACTGTTAATAGTGCCTGTCTTAGATGGTGTCTCTGGAAATATTTATGTACTGTGCCTTTTCCATACCGCAGAAAACCATGCCAATTCTCTTGGATATCATGATCTTCCAGTGTTAGCAGTCTTTTATTCCTTAATGTCATCCAATCTTTTAGCCAAGTGAATGTTGCAGCTTGGTAGTATAACTCCCATTCAGGCAGGCCAAATCTACCTTTCTCTTTAGTATCCTGCATTAATTTCAGCTTAATTCTCAGCCTCTTTCCCTGCCATATAAATTTTGACATTAATTTATTCAAGTTCTTAAGGAAGCTGTTCTCTAATTTTATCGGAATATTTTGAAATAAAAAGAGTATTTTTGGTAAGACATTCATTTTTAGAACAGCTATCCTACCCATTAGAGAAATTTGCAGGTTCTTCCATCTTTCTAAATCCATCTTAATTTGATTTGTTAATTTAGTGTAGTTATTTTCTCTGAGAGTTATACACCTTGCTGTTAGGTATATACCTAAATATTTCACCTTTTTCACTATTCATTTCCTTTGTAAATTCTTCCTTTTATTTATTTGCCAGGTTCTTGACTAACATTTTAGTTTTCCCCTTGTTTATTTTTAGTCCCACTACTTCTCAATACTCTGCAACTTGCTCCATAAGCTTCACACCAGACTTTAGAAGCTCCTCTAAAATAAAGACTAAATTGTCCACAAAAGCTTGTAATTTATACTTTTCTTGTCTGATTTCCAATCCTTTAATTCGTTCCTCTTTTCAGATATTTCTCATCAGCGCTTCTAATTTTAAGGTAACAGTGGGGATAGTGGACAACCTTGTCTTGTACCTTTTTGTATTGTAAATTTTCACATTGCCTCCCCATTAATTATTACTTTGGCCTCTTGTTTTGTATATATTGCTCTAACCATGTTTATGAATCCATAGCCGAAGTCCCTATGGCTCAATTGCTGTAACATGAATTCCCAATTTACATTATCAATTGCCTTTTGGGCATCTAAGAAAAGCAGTGCCACTTGTTTTTCATTATGTTTCATAATACTCTTAATATACCTAATATCGTTCTCATATTGTTCTTTATCTGCCTTTTGGGTATGAAGCCATTTTGGTCGGTATATATAAACGTGTTAAGGAATCTTTTCAGATGTTTGGCTATTATATAAGCAAATATTTTATAATCTGTGCTCAGTAATGAAATTGGTCTATAATTTTGAATTAATGATTGATCTGTGTCCTCCTTTGGGATCAGCACTATGTTAGCCTCTATCATAATAAAGATATCTTCACTTCTCTGAGAACAGCATTATATACTTCTAGTAGTATTGAACCAAGACTGTCCTGAAGTTCTTTGTACAGTTCTGATGGTAGTCTGTCAGACCCTGGTGCTTTATTGTTCTTTTGCTTTTTGATAGCTTCAATTAGTTCTGGCACTCTTATTTCTTCATTGAGCATATATTTTATTTCATCTGGTACTTTTGGTAGTTCAGCCTTTTCCAGATAATGTCAAATTTTTTCCTCTAAATAACCTCTACTTTCTTTATATAGTTTCTCATAAAAGACTTGGATTATATTTTTTTAATCTTCTTTTTGGTAGCAACATTTCCCTCTTCATTTTGTAATTTATTAATCCATTTTTTTTCTTTCTGTTTTTTCCATTTATATGCTAGCCACCTTCCTGGTTTTTTCGCATTCTCAGAAAAGTTTTGATCTGCTTTCTTTATTTGTTGTGCCAATTTTTCTTTTTCTAGGATGGCCAACTTGTGCTTATAGTTCCATTTTTCTTTTAGATTTCTGTTTTGTTGCTTTTTTTGTAGCTCTACCTCTATGTTCTTATAGTTCTCTTCCAAATCCTTTATTTTTTGTTTCTTAATTTTACTTTTCCTAGCCATGAATGATATGGCGGCCCCTCTTATAAATGCCTTCATCGTATCCCATAAATTTTGTATGGATGTATCCCCTGCCTTGTTTTCTTTAAAGAGAAATCCCTGTTTCTTATTAATCCTCTGGATAAAAATCTTCATCTTTCAAAATTGCTCAGTTAAATGTCCATCTTTGGCATTTCCTTTGCCCTCTCAAAGTAATTCTCATAGGATTATGTTCTGCCCAAATAGTGGGCAATAGTGTCTATTTCTACTTCCTTTATTCCTGAAATTAGCTCCACCAAGGTCCAGACCATATCGATTCTTGACCAGGACTCATGTCTTTTTGAGTAGTAAGTGTACTGTTTGCTCTTCTGATTTCTCTCTCGCCAGGAGTCTTGAATATTTAGCTCTTCTGCCATTTGAAAAAACGTCCTGGGTAGTACTATCCTTTTAATTCCTTTTGTTTTTGTTTTTGTTGCTCTTATAATCTAGTTTCTTGTCTATTATGGCATTGAAGTCTCCCAATATGCATATGTTGTCATTCTCTGTTTCTCGGATAATGCTGTGCAGTTTCTTATAGAAATTTTCCTGTCCCCCATTAGGCGCGTATATTTTGACTATTAACACCTTTTTAAAATGTTATTTCTATGACCAGTATCCTTCCCTCTTCATCCTGATAAATTTGCTTAGCCTGTATTGTTTTTTTTTTAATATACAGTGCTACCCCCTCTTCTGTTATGCTAAAGCTACAAAGAGATTCCCCCATCTGGGGTATTCCAGTATCTGTTTCTGTTGCTTTTTAATGTGGACCTCTTGTATGCCAGTTATGTCTAAGTTCATTTGCTTTAGTTTAGTAAAGGGTTTTCTTCCTTTTCTGAGGAGAATTTAAACCATTGATGTTCAATGATAAAATCTTTACTTCCTCGTTCATATATCTACTTATTTCTGGGTCTTGTACTTCTTGTTACTCTTGTCTCTCTCAGTTCTTTAAGCCCTTCTTCTTTACTCTCTTGTTCAGCTTCTTTCTCTTTTTCCTCTCTCCTTTAGTTATAGTTCCTTCTCTGTTCTTAACTTTGTTTCTTGGTCCCTTACCCCTTGGTCCCTTCTTCTTCTTTCTTGTTGCCAAAAAGCTGGTTACAGAATTCTTCTGCTTGTTCAACCATGTCTATTCTGAATCTCTTTTCTCTCCGTGTCACCAATATGCCCTCCAGCATCAGTCACCTGAAGTTGATGTTATGTTTATTCAACATTGATGTCAGGAAGTGGTCTTCTTAACTCTCTGATTCTTCTGAGTACCTGCTTTAGAACTATCAATTGCCTTTCTTTATG